AGTTTGTACTGCAACTATACTAAAAGTGAACTTATAGGTATACTGATAGTTTACTAATTAAATACTTGTAGTAGCATTTTTAGTACACTTTGAAGTATAGTCTCAGTAAACTACTAGTTTATTTGTTTTATACTGCAAGTATACTCGTAAGTTTTCTTTAAGTGAACTTTATATCATACTTTAAGTATACTACTATGTCCCTATTTAGGTATTAATTTGTATATATTTTGTTACATGAATATCTGAACATACAAAACATCAAAAGAACAGGGTATCTGCTTGTAAACAAAAACATTTTATTCTAGCTTCATGCATTCTTTTTTTATAAACACTTGAATGTGGATGTTTCATAAATAAAGAAATAAACAACATTTTTAACAAAAAGCTGAAAAAAAGACTATGAATTGGATTCAGAATGATAATCAAAATGTAGATAAAGTCGATCAATATTATTAAAGTTATTACCTCTTCATGGGTCGACATTTTATTCAATAATGTTACACAGTTTTGATGCTGTTTTATGTCTGATGATCGTGTTAGAATACATGTGGAAGCATCTGTTGTTTCGGTTTCTTCTTCACTTGTGTTTTTTGGAAATTCTGTACAGAAGATGTGTACTAGCGCCCCCTACAGTATAACGATGAAAACACTGATTCTAGGAGCACAATTATAGCTAAAATATATTTAGACTTTTTCTAAGTATAAGTCAAGTATACTTAAATGTCATTTTAAGTATATTTCTGAGAAGTACATAAAGCCCATTTCTGAGAAGTACATAAAAAGTAGACAAAGTATACTTACTTATTTTTAGTTTAAAAGAAGTATACTAATAGCACACTTGAATAAACTTATTTTTCGTAAGGGATGCCTTATTCAGTTCTGTGGTTTTAGTCTTTACTAAATTATGCTTGGATTGCATTATTTAACTTTTTGGTGTCCACAATTGCAAACTTAAAATGCACAATACTTTACCCAAGAAAGAAAATTTTGCCATCATATAGCTTACTCGCCCTTGTGTTTCTGACTTTCTTCTACTGCAGTGGAGTAGCTACAAAAGGAGAAATATTTGAGTAACACAACAGAATTGTCTTTTTTTGGGTGAACTATTTTAACCGTGTTTTTGTCTACAGTGATCTCAGAATGGCAACAAGACACATATTATCTCTGCTCCTCCTTGGATTATGCATGAGCACTCACATTGTGAAATGCACCTCCGTGTGTTCAGTCGACGGCTCTGTTGTCCTCTGCATAGATAGAGGCCTTCAAGAGGTGCCAGAGCTGCCCAAGCATGTAAATAACTTGGATCTGAGTAACAACAGCATTGCTGAACTCCATGAAACATCCTTTTCTCATGTGGAAGGTCTACAAGTCATCATACTGATGCACCAAACACCAGGGCTTGTGATCAGAAACAATACATTCAGAAGACTCTCTAATTTAACATCACTTCAGCTAGACTACAACCACCTGCTGCAAATGGATACAGGAGCATTTACTGGATTATCCAACCTTGAGATTCTCACTCTCACTCAGTGCAGTTTAGATGGTTCTGTTTTGTCTGGTGACGTCCTCAAACCTCTGGTGTCTCTACAGATGCTTGTCTTACGCAATAACAACATTCACAGAATCCAGCCGGCATCGTTCTTTTTAAATATGAGGAGATTCCATGTGCTGGATCTCTCTCACAACAAAGTGAAGAACATCTGTGAAGAAGACCTCCTCAGCTTTCAGGGTAAACATTTCACGCTTCTGCAACTGGCCTCCGTGACACTGCAAGACATGAATGAGTACTGGTCAGGATGGGACAAGTGTGGAAACCCGTTTAAGAACATGTCTGTAACTGTATTGGACCTATCTGGAAACGGCTTTAATGTTAACATTGCAAAGCGATTTTTTAATGCAATCAGTGGTACCAAAATCCAAAGTCTAATTTTCAGTAATATTTGCAGCCTGGGCAGATCTTCTGGTAATAATTCAAAAGATCCAGACAAATTCACATTCAAGGGTCTTGAGGCGAGTGGTGTTAAGACTTTCAATCTGTCCAGTTCAAATATTTTTTCTCTGTCATATTCAGTATTTAGTTATTTGCCAGATCTAGAACAAATTACACTGGCACAAAGTCAGATCAACAAGATTGAAAACAATGCATTTTTGGGTATGACAAATTTACTACAGCTAAACCTGTCCAAAAACATCCTGGGTATTATTAATTCTGACACTTTTCAGAATCTAGAGAAACTCGAGGTGCTTGATTTGTCATATAATCATATATGGAAGCTTGGACATCAGTCATTTCAAGGACTTACAAATCTACTCAACTTAAATTTAACAGGAAATTCGCTCAAATATGCACATACATTTGCAAGCCTACCAAGCCTGGAGAAGCTCTACTTGGGTGACAACAAAATTACACATGTGTCCAATTTACTCAACATTGCCACAAACCTCAAAACCCTTTACCTGCAATTTAACAAAATATCTTCCATGTCAGAGTTCTACACGATACTAGAGAAGTTTCCTCAAATCGAGGAAATTGTTTTTCGAGGTAACGAACTTGTTTATTGCCCTGATGACGAGCATAAAGTGCTTTCACAAAAAATAAAAATCCTTGATCTTGCAATTGCAGGTCTGGAAGTTATCTGGTCAGAAGGAACATGTTTAAACCTATTTGACGATCTTCACCAGTTAGAAGCGCTTTTTCTTAGTTCCAACAGACTTCAGTCGCTTCCCAAAGACATTTTCAAAGACCTCACCTCCTTGATCTTTTTGGATTTGTCCTCCAATTCTTTGAAGTACCTTCCTAATGGTATTTTCCCTAAAAGTTTACAATATCTTAATCTTGAATACAACTCTGTTTATTCAGTGGATCCAAACCTCTTCAGCACCCTCAGCTACCTCAGCCTGCTGGGCAATGGATTTAATTGTGACTGCAACCTAAGGGATTTCCAAACATGGCTAAATCAAACCAACATAACCCTTTTTCACCCCATTGAGGATGTGACATGTGCCAGTCCTGAGGATCAGTACATGGTTTCGGTTGTGAGATCCAGCATTCAATGTGAGGATGAAGAGGATGCGTGGAGCGTTGAAAAACTGAGGCTTGCGCTTTTCATTTGCTGTACCGCACTGATCATATTATTCACTGCCAGTGCCATCATTTATGTCTGTCAACGTGGCTACATCTTCAAGCTTTACAAAAAACTTATGGCCAAACTTGTGGATGAAAAGCAAGAGAAGCCTGAGCCTGATCCTGATCGATTCCTGTACGACGTGTATCTTTGTTTCAGTTCCAGTGATATTAAGTGGGTAGAAAGAGCGCTGTTGAAGAGGCTTGACTCTCAGTTCTCAGAGCAGAATACACTCCGCTGCTGCTTTGAGGAGCGAGACTTCATACCCGGGGAGGACCATCTTACCAACATGCGAAATGCTATCCAGAATAGTCAAAAAACCCTTTGTGTGGTGTCTGAACATTTCCTGAAGGATGGTTGGTGCTTGGAAACCTTCAACCTGGCTCAGTGCAGAATGCTAGTGGAGCTTAAAGACATTCTGGTGGTGCTGGTTGCAGGGAACATACCGCAGTACAGGTTACTGAAGTACGAACAACTGAGATCTTACATTGAGACCAGAAGGTACCTTATGTGGCCCGACGACAACCAGGACTTGGAGTGGTTTTATGACCAACTTCTGCATAAAATAAGAAAAAACACCAAGGTTAAACAAACAAATGCTAAAGAAAAAGACAAGGAGGTCAAAAACAATCCTGAAGCAGCAAATGTTCATGCGGACACGGCAGTGTAACTGTGAAGGACTTCGTGTAAACATACCTTTCTTTGCTTTTGGTGAGGTTTTCATTCATCCTACTGTGTTTGACCCGCTTTCTTTTGGACATTGACGTCTACAAAAATGAAGTGTTTTAAGCTTGACACCATACTGAACTGTATAATTATAAGAGTTTATTTTGTATTATCCAAAATGTGCTGTAGCATGAACTTCTCGCTCAGTTGGTGTAAAGTTCAATGGAACTGTGACATTACAGATACATCTGCAGATGCAGATGCATTAACACTGTAATTGCTTTAAATGTTGTTTTATGTAAATAGCACACCTTTTACATTTTTATTTTCATACTGTTTCAGGATTTGGCACAAAGTTGAATAAATCATACTGTGTGTTACAATTCAAGTGTTCAAAATATCTGTGGGACACTACTTGGTTTTTAAATAAAACGTGACTTTTAAAGATAATGTACTACTTTGTAAAGTTATACTTTGTTTATAATTCTATTTTGCATTCAGTTATTTGAATGAACCTGGGCAAATACCAAATGGTTACTGCTAAAAAAGGACAAATCAGAGGACAAATGTTGGATACACTACATATATATATATATATTTTTTTTTTACTACCGGTACCAATTATTTAAAATGTACCAAACTTGATGTTATACATTTAAATTATTATGATTAATACTATTATTACACCAGATAGCAGCCTTTAATGGTACACCCAATATTAACAAATAATACAAAATTTGTAAATATTTATAATTATCTTTTTATTAAAAAAAAAGAACAGAGCAGATTCTAATTTTCAAAAATGAGTAAAAAAAACATACATGTCAAGAACGTGACACTTAAAAGAATACTTAATTTTGCATGTAGTATATTTGACAAAAACAATTTTCTTTTGTGTTAAGTCACATAAACTGACTCAATTTCCCTGAAGTCCTGAGGCTAATGTAAATGTTTGCGTACTGCAGGAGGAGGCGATTTTATCTAAGAAACTGGAAAAAAGGAGACGACTTTGAAAGAAAGCACAATCTCAAAGAGTCTTTCAATTCACCATCACAGAAACTATTGAAGTTTGCTTGTGAAGTATTAAAAACTTTATAGGTGAAACATTCAAATCAGCATCAACAAAAAAGTGCATGACTCAAATACATACACAACACACATACATAAAATATATACAAGTTCATATAAAATGTGCAGGAAAATAATTCTGATTATGTTTTTCTGTTCCCATGAAAAAGAGATGGCCTGTGGCCAGACATCAAAAACATTATCTAAAACAGATGTCACAAATACCAGCCAGTGGGTCAAAATAGTGTCCTCTTAAATCAGACAAAAGTTTTCCTTGACGTCATGTCAGGATTCCCATGCACATAATGTCAAGAAACTCTTTCCTGTCAGGAAACAACCAGTTGCTTTTCTGTGCTAAATCTTAATATGGCAATATATTCTGATATCTCAATCTAACGCTCTCATTTTAAATGTTAGCATAAACTCTCAGATGAGGCTTTTGAATTAATGGCAATAGTAGGCACGCTGGTTTTTGGTTTGTGAAACTCTACAGAATTGCACTTCGCTTTTACAGTCTTTTTAAAACAGTTTATTTTTTTGGGAGACACAGGCTCTGCCCTTTCATTATTGTCTTTGTTACTCAGATTGTATTTGACACTTCCTTCCGGTACCACTGGAATCGCTTTGCGAATCTCATGACTGTCCTGCAGCAAAACACAAGTGCCATTTACTTTTGTTTTTATATGGTTCCATGGTATTTTGTGAGGGGTCTGGGAATTTAATGCTAGGTCCCCTGTCTTCTGTGTATCGTGATTAACAGTACAGACCCGAGTTGTGTCAGGTAAAGCACAGCGCTGAACATCTGGAAACTGAATGTGAGCTGGAAAGTTCTGGCTCTCTGGTAGAGGTGAATTGGGGCCACACGCATTGATGTGGGACCCGTCGTGCACTGCAGTATTGGATGACAGTGCCTGATGCAAAAGTGGCACTGTGTGCATGCTGTAGCCCCCAGGGAAACATCTGTGAGGGGCTGGCATTGATGTTTGGCTCTGTGAGCAATGTTGAAAGTGGCCACAGTTTACGTAGCAGTCAGCGGGAGTGTGCACTGTATCCCGTGAGGACCGAAGGTTCTGACTCACAGGTAAGTGATTGGTCTGTTTACCAGGGCATGGGGTTTCTCGAGATTGGCTGCAAGGATGGTAGGGAGTCCTTTGTCGCTCCCTCATATACTGATGCATGGAGTTCTCACAGGTGCACCTTGTACTGTACGCAAATTGATGAAGATGTGAAAGCTCTGTGCCTGGTAAGCCATTTTCAATCTCAGGACTGGGTTCTCCTGAGTTGGTGCAGCTTTTCAAGGTTGAGTGATGAGAAGTGATGCCATTGTGCAACTGTGTACATGCTTCCTGTTCCTCATCAGAGACCTTTTCCTCATTCCTGACATTTAACGCCAAGGGCTCAAGCTCATAGTGTTCGTGTCGACCCTCACTTCTTGCATTATCTATCTGGTACTTGGTTGTGTAGCAAGCACCGAGTTTACCTTGGTTCGGATTAGACTGGTTTTCAGATGTGTGCTCTGAAAAGGCATAGCACTGGAGTTTCTTTGGCAAAGGAATCTGTCCACAGGTGCCCTGAGGTCCCAAACAGCGACACATGCATTGAAAGAAAAACGTAGCAAATGCCCAACTAATGCACATGATTAGCATCAAAAACGTGCCCAGTTGAGTGTAGGCCAAAACTGTGGATGGCATCATCATCGCACCGGCTACAAAGGTTGTGAGTGCTGCCATCGCTATAGCTGAGCCCATTCTGCTCAAGGAGAATAGCACCTTTCCTTCCCTGTCCGGTTCTGGTGCAAGGCGGTACGCCACTCCATAATGGACAGCAAAGTCCACAGAGAGGCCTACAGCAACTGAGATGGTCACTGATTCGAGCACATTTAGTTCCCAACCCAAGAGCACCAGCGACCCAACTGTGACAAATATGGTTCCGGCGATAGATATGATGGCATAGAGGCTGATGATGATATTCCAGGTGGTCAGGAGCATAACACTGAAGGCCACCACCACCGACAGTGCCATAGCAATAAGAGTCCCATCCGATAGGCTGTCCTGCAGGTCATAGAACTCCAGGTTGCTTACAAACCATCCATAGCTTAGTCCTTCAGGAGCATCTGTCAGCTCCTCCTGAATCCAAGCATCCACTTCTCTGTAAAACTGATGCATCTTCTCGTACGCCAGAGTGAAATGGTAGGTACTTTGAAACTCGAGCACAATTGCTCGAATTGTGTCATTGATGTCAAACCTTGGCCCTGGAGTCTTGCTGTCAAGGTGGTAGATGGTGCTTCGGTCAAGCTCCATAATTGCCCGTTTGATACACAACTCAAAGACGTCTTGTCGGTAAGGGAATGTGGATTGACTACAACAGGGATAGACGGAAGCCTCATCACAGTCTTGGTTTTCCATCCATTGCTTGAAAGTCTCCATGAAGCAGCTTGTGAAGTCTTGCTCCTCAGATTGGAACACGAAGCTCTGGTTCCTAAGCTTCTGGCAAAAATTGAGAATCCATACCTGACTTGCAGGACTCGCAATGTTGAAGGTTGTGTCAAGTGTTAGTTTACCCTTATTTTTGGGGTTTAGCGGATCTCCGCTGTCAACTGGAGTAACTCCCCAAATGATGGTGATTGGCATGTGGAGGTCTTCCCCGTGGTTGACCCGTTCAAACATGAAGAGTTTTTTGTACTCCGCATCGTAGCGTTCAAAGGGATGGGAAGAGCGGAAAACCTGAAACTCCGACAGCTCCAGAGAAGGCAGTTTCATCTTGGGATTTACGCAAACAACGTAGGCACCACCCACCATCATCGCCAAGAACCACAAGAGCCACAAGTAGCGCAACTTGATCACGATACAAGGCAAAACTTTCTCAAAGAAAATCCGACAGGCCTCTGAGATGCTAAAAAGACACTTGTTGACCATCTGGTATAGGCTTGTCCAAAACATTGTAGCACCCTCCGTCTGGTGGTGTTGTGACCGAGAACATGTTAAGAGGTTGACCAGGTACCGCTCATGTAGGACCACCACAGCTGGCAACCAGGTAACCATCAGTATGTAGTTAACCAGGATAGCAGTACCAGCATACACACCAAAGCATCGGATGGCAGTGATGTTGCTCACATAGTTGGCATAGAAGGCAGCGGCTGTGGTAAAGCTGGTGACAAACATTGAGAGTGCCGCGTGCTGAAGCGTGACGCCGACTGTTTCAGAGAGTTCGGAATTGGGTTTGTCAAACTTTGTGTAGTTCCAGACATCGCAAAGCACAAATGCATCGTCGGCGCCAATTCCAACCAGTATGATGAGCGCAGTGAGGTTCATGAAGGGGAAGAAATCAAAGTTGAAGACCACACGGTACAGGAAGTACGAGACGATCAGCGAACTGATAATGGCAAACATTGTCATAAGGGTGATGAACATTGATCTTGTGTAGATGCACATGACCACCAACACGATAACAATAGCTATTGCTGGATACATGGTATCCGTCAGAAGGTAGTCCTGAAATAAGTTGTGTTTGATGCCAAATTCTATTCCTGTGATGGTCGTGATCCCATCCGAGGAGTTCCAGTTCTCAAAGTTGTCCAAGTAAATGTTCATCATTGTTTCACCTTTCTCCGTTGGGGAGAAGAGCATGCTGTACTTGAGGTTAGGCGGAAGGTAGTCCGTGTTCTTTGGATTCAGAAAGTCTTTGTCCACCAAAAAGTGAAAAATCTGATATACGGCATTGTATTTTGTACACTTCCGTGGCACATTGCCACACTTGAGGTCCTTCTTACGGGTCGTCATGTCCCAGCACTCGGGACCAAGAGTGCCATTGTGGTAATACTTTGCACAGGAGCGCAGGATCTTCAGGGTGTGGGAAACATCTCGCTCTGTGATCTTTTGGCAGGAGGACTTGTTAGTAAGGACGGCTATGTAGTTCCCAAGCGTCCAGCTGGGACAGCAGGAGGCAGCAGTGGTGCGCTGACACAGATCCAAGTACTGGGGATGGGAGCGAACCTGCAGGACCAGACATGAAAAACACCA